TATGGCCACAGAAAATAATACCTAATCCTCTGGCCGATCAACAATATATATAGCTTTAAGATTAGGGCAAACACCAATCATTATCTTAAGAAATTTTACTTTTTAATTAGAAACAAAATCAGAAAACTAACAAAAACGAATTTTAACTGCTAAATTATAGAATTATCCAAAAAATTAACAAATAAATTTAAGCTAAGATTCCATAATCATTAAAGTCGAGATATTATGACCTCCATATCCCCAGCGATCATACTATAAAATAAAAAAAATTAAGGGTGATTAAGACTAATCATCACAAAACACGATTAGACTTATATACCCTTAACAACTAAGAACAAAAATTTTCGAATTAAGGGTGTTTAGGACATTATAATAGAGATCAACACACGATTAGACTTATATACCCCTAATTACGAAGAAGGAGAAATTTCGAGAAGAACAATTCATTAAGGGTGTTTAGGACAAATCATTCTAACTTTTAACCACAGGCCTCCAATGCCCTAACTTTCAATATGGTGCGTTTCCACTTCTCAAATAATTATTGTAGAGATCCTTTAAGGATTTAATGAAATTGACGTCAAAAAATAATAATTATTTTTTACATTTTTAGCCTTTAAATATTTATATAATAAAATATGTAGAGAGAAAGTTAATAAAAAAAAAAAAAACTTACGAAAGTTTAAACTTATATTTTACCCAATATTAGAAGCCTTAACCAACAATAATATATTCCCCAATTACATTAAACCGAACCAAATGTAGAAGATGCAAAATCGCTGATTAGGTGATTTCCAATTTAGGGTTTAATTAATGTGACTATATAAACAGAAAGTGTTTTCGGTTAGTGATTAGTTTATTAATTCGCTTTCTTCCCCGAGAAAAAGAAAGTTTAAAGAAATCCCTGACAGTTACGAATATGGCGACGGCGAATATACACGACGCTGTTGTTTCCGATGGCTTTGACTATGAAATCTGGGCTCCGATCACGAAAACGACGCTAATCGAGAAAGGACTTTGGGATGTTGTCGAGAACGGAGTCCCGCCGGATCCATCGAAGATTTCAGAGTTAGCGGCGAAGATTCAACCCGAAGAGCTTTCGAAATGGAGAGATCTCGTGGTGAAAGACGCGAAAGCGCTTCAGATCTTGCAATCGTCTCTCACGGATTCTGCTTTCAGGAAAACTCTTTCGTCTTCTTCGGCCAAAGATGTTTGGGATTTGCTTCGGAAAGGTAACGAACAAGCAACGATACGTAGATTAGAGAAGCAATTCGAAGAACTTAAAATGGTTGAGAAAGAATCTGTCGATTCCTACTTAGCTAGGGTTTTGGAAATCGTTGATCAGCTGCGTCCTTTGAAAATTGAGAAATCCGATTACGAGATTTGCAAGAAGGTGTTCACGTCACTCCGTCTAGATTCAATGTTGAAGGAACTCATTGATGTGCATAAGATGACTAGTAAGAGTCTTGTTGAGTTTTTTTATTCACATGGATATGAATCAGTGACAGAGGAAGATATCTTTGGACTATTGAAGGATTTGAGGCTTAAATCAAAGTCTGAGAAGTGGTGTGGCTTTTGCTACAAGAACAATCACAACCAAGAAGACTGCAACTATAAGGAGGAAGAAGAAGAAAGCGCAGTTGATTATCGTCTGGTAACGGCACCAAATTTAGGGGAAAAAACATATGATGAGGATATTTGGATAATACACATGGAGTCTCCGGTTCACATGACTCCATATGTGAAGTATTTCACCACTCTAGACAGGACATTCAAAGCTACGGTTGGAACGGTCGATGGAGCAGTTCTTATGGTAGAAGGAAAAGGAGATGTTAAGATCAGGATGAAGGAAGGGAAGAAGAAGACGATCCGGAATGTGATTTTTGTTCCCGGGCTCAACAGAAATGTGTTAAGTTTTGGTAAGATGTTATCAAAACGCTACTCAATCAGAACGGGAATGAAAGGCGAATGCATTGTCGAAACTCGGAATGATGAAGAAGTTGGGGAAAGTATGTTGATGTCGGATGAGAATGAATTGGCTTTGCGTTTGAAGGTGATTGAAGGTAATCTCACCTCTTAAGTAGCTACTTTTCATGATGGCTACATTTGGTAGTAGCCTTAGCTCGTCAGGTGGACATATCAGTCTTCTATATGGTCTTTCTAGTTTGGTTTTATTTCGTTTTCAGTTTGTTCGTCTAAGGAAAGCTAATACATATTCTGCTACTGCAGTATGAATTAGTCTATAACCTAGGGAGGCTTGGTTTTAATCATAGTTTTTCAGAAACTATTTTGTCATCACTTTGTCAAGTTTTGATAATGGTGAGGAGACCAATTCCAGTAGAATAATGAAAGGGTTTTTACTTGTTAGAAAATTGATCAAATATATGACAACATACCAAACTTGAGAAAATATATCGAAATAGAAAGTTGAGACAGATTTTGGCCATATACATTTTGACACAAACTTGGAAGTATTCATTATTGTTGTACAATGAATTGAAATTGTTATCACTTTTTTTTTACATTATTTGAGTCACATTTTTCGTTTTTACAAAGTGCAATTACTCAAATATTCTAGATCACTGATAGGCGCTTAAATCCAAAAATCCAAATCCATCAGAGAGTCTGGGGAGAACCGGAGAAGTTTGCGTGTGGTTTAGCCGTGTAGGGTTAAAGCACTTAACCGGATCAACCCACTTAACTTGAACCAGATAGAACCACTAACAATAATAGCTCATCCAATTACATCCGAACCAGAACCGATTCGGGAAAGTGTGTTTAACATTCCAATTGCGCTAAATCGAACCAAGAGTAGAACCAAAACCGAGCCTTTGCTCATTTGATGATTCAAAATATAATTAGGGTTTATAATTTGGTTTAGTGTGACTAAATAAATAGAAAGTGACACTGCTGTGTGAATAGTTTATTCGCTTTTCCCATTTCTCCAAGGGAATATACAGAGAAAAAAAGGTTTTAAAAAACCGTGACAGTTAGGGCTATGGCGGCGGCGAAGATACACGACGCCGTTGTTTCCGATGACCTGAACTACGAAATCTGGGCTCCAATCGCGAAAACTACACTAACGTAGAAAGGACTTTGGGATGTTATTGAAAATGGAGTCCCGCCTAATCCATCGAAGATTCCAGAGTTAGCAGCGACGATTCAACCCGAAGAGTTTTCAAAATGGAGAGACCTCGCGGTAAAAGACATGAAAGCGCTCCAGATTTTGCAATCTTCTCTCACGGATTCCGCTTTCAGGAAGACTCTATCGGCTGCTTCGGCCAAGGACCTTTGGGATTCGCTCGAAAAAGGTAACAATGAACAAGCGAAGGCACGTAGGTTAGAGAAGCAATTCGAAGAACTTAGTATGAATGAAGGAGAACCGATCATTCCCTACTTAGATAGGGTTATAGAGATAGTTGAACAGTTGCGCCGTTTCCAAATTGCAAAATCTGATTATCAAGTTATCGAAAAGGTGTTAGCCACGCTCTCAGGGTCATATGATGGTGTAGCTCCAGTGTTGGGGGATCTCATGGATCTGAAGAATATGAGTCTTAAGAGTTTTGTCGAGTTGTTTTATACTTATGATTCGATAACAGATGAATCTATCCATCTAATGTTGAAGGCTAATAGGCTTAGATCGATGTGTGAGGACTCTTGTGGCTTGTGCAACAAGAACAATCACAACCAAGAAGACTGTTCTTCTTCTATCCCTAGGGCTGGGAAGTCCAGTGGTGCCAGGCAATGTAAGCCAAAAAAAGGCAAATGCTTTCAATGTGGAGAAAGAGGGCATAAAGCCAAAGATTGCAACAAAAAGATCAGCAACCAGCGGTGACGACAGATGCTCAGATTGAGATAGTTGAGGAAGAAGAAATCAAAGTTGATTATGTACTGTTAGCAGCGTTGAATTTGAATGAATTCACATATGATGAGAATATGTGGATGATATACGGCCATGCCACGAATCACATGACTCCACATGAGAAGCTTTTCACCTCTCTAGACAGAACATACAAAGCTAAGGTTGGTTTGGTTGATGGAACAGTTATCATGGTAGAAGGAAGAGGAGATGTAAAGATCAAGATGAAGGAAGGGAAGCAGAAGACAATCAACAATGTGATTTTTGTTCCTGGGCTCAACAGAAACGTGTTGAGTGTTCAGCAGATGAAATCAAGAGGCTGTTCATTCATAAGTGGAGCACGAGGCGAATGCATTGTTCACGATCGGACTGGCAAAGAATTTGGGGATACTCTGTGGGATAAGAGAGGATTATCTCTGCGTTTGCAGGTGATTGAAGGTAATGTCACCTCTTAATTAGCTATGCCTATCACTCTGGTAGTAGACGTTAACTCGCAAGGTGGACGTATGTCTTTTTAGTTTGGTTTTATTCAGTTTTCAGTTTGCTAGTCTAATTCATATTCTGCTACTCTAGTATGAATTAGTAGTCTTCTGGTCTTTTAACCTAGGACAGCTTGGTATTAATCTAGTTTTGAAAAACTATTTTTGGTTGTTCACTATGCATAAGTATGCAATGCTTTTGTCAAGTTTTGCTTATGGTGAAAAGGTGACGAATTCCATTAAAAAATGTTGCGAGAAAAGACACGAAGACCGTTTCGGATAATGAAATGCGCGCTAAGAGATTCGGGGTTTCCGGGAGACCCACAGCTGCTACGGCAAAAGCTGTTTGGGATATGTTGAAAGAAGGCAACGAACAAGCCAAGTTAGGGGAGAGCTAGCGTGTGGGGTTAATCTCTTAACCGGATCAACCCACTTAACTTGAATACTTGAACCAGACTTAACCCAATTAGTTTTTTAGGAGTATAACCAATAACTCATCCCCTAATTGAATCCACGTATATTCGAGTGTATAATAAGGAGTCAAATGATTTGAAGAAGACGCATCTAGAACTGAACCAATAACCAAAATGTTTGCACTTTAGGGTTTGTTTGGTTTAATGTCACTGTATATATAAATAGAAAGAAAGCGTTCAGGCGAGTGATTTATCCATTAGTTTATCCATTCGCTTTCTCCAAGAGATCTTGATAGTTACGGCTATGGCGGCTGCGAATAAACAACAAGATGATGTTTTCGATGACCTGAACTACGAAATTTGGGTTCGAATCGCGAAAACTACACTAACGGAGAAAGGACTTTGGGATGTTGTCGAGAACGGAGTACCGCCAGATCCATCGAAGATTCCAGAGTTAGGGGCGACGATCCAACCCGAAGAAATTTCGAAATGGAGAGATCTGGCGATGAAAGACATGAAAGCGCTCCAGATTTTGCAGTCTTCTCTCACGGATTCAGCTTTCAGGAAGACTCTGTCTGCTTCTTCGGCCAAAGATCTTTGGGATTTGCTCGAAAAAGGTAACAATGAACAAGCTAAGCTACGTAGGTTAGAGAAGCAATTCGAAGAACTTACTATGGATGAAGCAGAACAGACAACTTCCTACTTAGATAAAGTCATAGAAATCGCTGAACAGTTGCGTCGTTTGAAAAATGGGAAATCTGATTATCAGGTTGTCTCCAAGGTGTTAGGCTCGCTCTCTGAGTCGCATGAGGATTTAGCTACGCTATTAGAGGAGCGCTCGGATCTGAAGAAAATGACTCTTAAGAGTCTTGCTGTGGTTTTTAACAGATATGAATCACTAAAGAGAGAGAGTCAAAGCAGGAATCCGAATGACTTACCAGTGTATGAAGTGAATTCAGTCACTCTTGCACATGAGACATTTGATGAGGATATGTGGACGATATCCAGCGGTACCACGAATCACATGACTCCATATCTGAAGTTTTTCACCACTCTAGACAGAACACACAGGGCTCGGGTGAAATTGATCAACGGATCATTTATCATGGCAGAAGGTCGAGGAGATGTCAAGATCCTGACGAAAGAAGGGAAGAAGAAGACGATCAAGAATGTGCTTTTCGTTCCGGATCTCTACAGAAACGTGTTGAGTCTTGGTCAGCTGGAACAATTAGGCTACATGATGATAACTAGTGGAAACAAATGCATTCTTAAGGGTGAGAAGACTGGGAAAGTATTTGGGGAAACCGTGACGGATGGGAGAGGTTATTTTATGCGTTATCAGGTGATTGAAGGTAATCTCACTTCTTAACGAGCTGCTTTGCCACTATGAATAAATTTGGTAGTAGACTTCACTTAACTAGTAAGGTGTGGACAAATCAAGTCTTTTATGTGTTTGTTCCATTTTCTCTAAGTTTGTTCATCTAAGAAAAGCTGATTCATATTTTGATGTTGTAGTATGAATTAGTCTGTTCTTTTAACTTAAGACGGCTTGGTTTGGTTTTAATCTAGTAGTCAAAAACTATGTTCTATATTCACAATGCAGTGCTTTTGTCAAGTTTTGTTAATGGTGAAAAGACGAATCAGAAAGGTTTCTACTAAAATTGATCAGATATATGATGACCAAGCTTGAGAGTTGAGATAATTTACCGAAATAGAAAGGAGATGGCAAGGGCATTGTTTTGACCGTAGTAGCAGTGTGACATAAATTTATGCATGCATATCAATGAAATGGTTTTGGTAGTTTATCACGTTTTCATCATTACAAGGTGCAAAATTGCAAATAAAATATTTTTAGAGTAATGTATGCTGTTCCGGGTTTATACAGACTTGTATTTTCAGTGGTGTGTTGGTTGAGAACTCTTAACAACTGCTTTAATTATAGCTTTGGGTGTGGTGTAGGGGTTAATTATACTTTATTCACTTAAGTGGATCACCCACTTAAATTGGACCAGATACAACCCTAACAAGTAACAACAATAACTAAACCGACTCGAAAGATATGATTAACCAAATTCGCAAGTGTATATGGAACGTAACATTCATCTGAAAGTGAGCCGATTCACTTAGGTTTATAGATCTTTCTTCAATTGCGTTGAACCGAAGCAAGAATAAAACCAAACCGAGCCACAACTCAATTTGATGAAGTTGCAATTGAACGCTAGGGTTTACGGTTAAGCATAAAAGTCACTAAGATAAATAGAAAGTTTAGTTTAATCGCTTTGCTTGCTCCAAGAGAATATACAGAGAAAAAAGGTTTGGCGATAGTTACCTCTATGGCGGCGAATCTCCAAGACGGTGTTTCCGATGACTTTGACTACGAACATTGGTCTCCAATGGCGGAAACTAGACTGATGGAGAATGGAGTTTGGGATGTTGTTCAAAACGGAGTCTCGCCAAATCCAACAACGATTCCAGAGTTAGCGGCGACTATCAAAGCCGTAGATCTTGCGCAATGGAGAAATCGTGTGATTAAAGACAACAAAGCGCTTAAGATGATGCAATCTTCTCTCCCAGATTCGGTTTTCAGGAAGACTGTCTCGGTTGCTTCATCCAAGGATCTTTGGGATTTGCTCAAAAAAGGTAATGATACCAAAGAAGCAAAGCTACGTAGATTAGAGAAGCAATTCGAAAACCTTATGATGTATGAAGGAGAACGAATGAAGTTGTACTTGGAAAGAGTTGAGGAAATCATTGAACGGTTCTTTGTTATGGGAAATCCGATATCGGATGATAAGGTTATCGCCAAGCTGTTAATTTCGCTGCCACGGTCATATGATGATTCTATTCCTGTGTTGAAGGAATTCATGACTTTGCCTGATCTTACTCATCGCGATCTTCTTAAGGCTTTTGAATTGTTTGGATCACATCCTGAAACTATGCCTCAAGAGTTGATGAAGTTCATTAACATTCTTAGAAAAGCCCACTCTGATCGGTTGCCGTGTGCTGGGTACGATAAGAACAATCCCAACAAAGATGCTAAGCTACTTAGATTAGAGAAGCAATTCGAGAAGCTTATGATGTATGAAAGAGAATCTATGGATTCTTACTTGGAGCGAGTTTTGGATATCATTGAACAGTTCCGCGCTTCGGGATATCCGATATCCGATGATGATGTTATCGCGAAGCTGTTAACTTCGCTGTCATGGCCATATGATGATGCTATTCCTGTGTTGGAGGAACTCATGAATTTGCCTGATATGACTCCTCATGATCTTCTTGAGGTTTTGGAGATACATGGATCACATCCTGAAACTATGCCTCAGGGGTTGAAGGATTTCGTTAAAAGTCTTAGAAAAGCCAAGGCTGAGCAGATGTGGTGTGGCGTGTGCAAGAAGTACAATCACTACCAAGAAGACTGTTATTACAACCCTAGGGTAGTGAACTTGAGTGGAGGCAGAGGCCAGTGCTTTCAATGTGGAGAAATTGGGCATTATGCTAGAGATTGCTGCAACACAATGAATCTACAACCTGCGGCGACACTTCAAGCTCGGAAGAGAGAAGTCAAAGATTGTTTCACTTATGATGAGGATCTGTGGATGATATACACCACCACTGAGAATCACATGACTCCATATGAGAAGTTTTTCACATCTTTGGACAGAACATACAGAGGTGGGGTCCAATTATCGGACGGGAATGTTGCCATGGTAGAAGGGATAGGAGATGTCAAGTTCATGATGAAGGGAGTGAGGATGACAATCAAGGATGTGCTTTTCGTTCCTCGGATCAACAAAAACGTTTTGAGTTTTAGTCGGATGAAAACTAGAGGCTATTCAATGGAAATGGAAGGAGGTGAATGCACTATTAGAGACGAGACAGGGAAAATATTTGTTAAAACCATGCGGGAAAAGAGAGGCATTGCTCTGCGTTTGCAGGTGATTGAAAGGTATTCACTTTGAATAAATTTGGTAGTAGACTTACTCTTTAGGTGGACATTTCAAGTCTTTTATGTGGTTTCAGTTTGGATTTATTCGTCTTAGAAAGCTAATTCTCATATTCTGCTACGGCAATATGAATTAGTCCTGGTCTTTTATTGGTTTTAATCTAGCTTTTGGAAACTCTTTTGTATTCACTATGCATTGCTTTTGTCAAGTTTTGCTAATGGTGAAAGGAGACGATTCTAGTTAACAACTTAACAATGAAAGGGCTTTTAGTAAATTGATCAATATACGATTACAGACCAAACTTAATTGAGAAAATTTACCGAAATTGAAAGAGAGGGATAGGCATGAAGAAGGTGGTTTGTTGAATCAGTAGCGGCAGATCTTGGCCGTAGGCATTGTGACACAAACTTGTGCGTATTTCTTCTTGGCCGCCTCTGTCCCTCGCTTGGGCTCTTCTTCTTCAGCCATGGCTACTTTAGCCAAAGAACAAACCGCTGCAGCTGCAGCCGTGAACATGAGGTCCCTCCTCATTGTGGTGCTGCACTGTTCCTTGACTTGTAAGCTGGGTGTGTTGTCGCTCGTGGAGGCTCTGACTACCGAGAGCCTTCGTCCGCCGGTGGCTGAGGGAAGCTTGGCGATGGCCGGGAGGAAAGTAGCGGTCATGGTCATCGATGCCATTGCTTGATAGTTGATTGAATCCTACGTTTGATCTTTCTCTCTTTCTCTCGGTTGGCTCTTGGTTAATGGTTTGTGAGCTGATGGGAATGTGTTTAAGAAGTTGGGTAATTTGAGTTTGTGGAATTGTGGAGAAATGATATCCATTTCCTTATCCAAATATGATTTTCGTGCAAATGGGTTGTTGCCACGTGTCATTGTTCTATCTTTTGTTACTCTATTTAATTACTTAAAAGACCATATTAGATTTAATTTAATGAGAGAATTATTCAAAATTATAACACTGGTTAAATTAAACCCCAAGTCACTAGGTCCCAAGTAACCCTTGGTCTAACGCCGTTAGTCGGTCTTCTCTTCATCAAAATTCGTCAGAAACCAAAAAAGCTTTCATCAATACTCTCCGCTAAGACCAATCAATCCCTGCTTTCACATTCCTTCTCCGATTTCGTTTTCACGCTTTCGCATTCCTTGTTTCAATTCGTTTCGAAACGCGTTCCAAGGTTACGTCGATCTCAAAGTACATCGCCTTCGGAGAGAGATTGATAAACCTAATTGCAACAATTCCATTGTTATTCACGGCTCTTAGAAACTTTACCTAGATTGCTTGGATTCAATCGTCAAGTTTTTATTGGATCGTAGGAACCCTAATTTCGAGGGCCTGTGTTCAGTCAGTCACTCACTCAATTTCCACAACACTCTCAGAGACCAACAAGAGGAACATGAACGCTCCGATCATAGGTGAGCTCTATGTGCACTTGTGCTTCCACTCCCATTGTTCGGTTCTTCGTCACTGGGTGTATAATTTGTTGGGTCTCTCTGTGTAGATCCATTGCAAGGAGATTTTCCGGAGGTGATTGAAGAATATCTGGAACATGGTGTCATTAAATGTGTTGCCTTTAACCACCGTGGTTCTCTTCTCGCTGGTATAAATCCTTCCCAATTTAGCTTTTGCTGTTTTCGTTATCTATCTATGAATTTGGTTAGATTTTTTGATATTTATAGTACACACATTGATGAGAGGATCTCTTGCATTCTTTATTTGTTGTTAGCGGGATGTGCCGATGGGGGATGTGTAATCTGGGATTTCGAAACTAGAGGCATTGCAAAGGAGATTCGTGATAATGATTGTTCTGCTGCTATAACAAGTGTCTCCTGGTCCAAATATGGGCACCGCTTGCTTGTGTCTGCTGCAGACAAGTCATTAACTCTTTGGGATGTCTCTACCGGAGAGAAGATTGCTCGTACGATTCTTCAGCAGACTCCGTTGCAAGCTCGTTTAAACCCTGGCTTGAGTTCTCCTTCTCTCTGTCTGGCGTGCCCGCTCTCTTCTGCTCCGATGATTGTTGACTTTGATATTGATTGTACAACTTTGCTTCCAGTCGCTGTGCCTGAGATGCCTGATGTATTAGCTCCTCCACAACGCAGTAAATGTCCTGAATCAAATCCTCCTTTCTCTCCAGCTGCAGCATGCTTTAACAAGTGTGGGGATCTTGTTTATATAGGTAATTCCAAAGGAGAAATACTTATAGTTGATTATAAAAGTGTTCGAGTTCTTGCTTTGGTTCCTGTGCCTGGCGCGGCACCTGTGAAAAACATAGTGTTTAGCAGGAATGGGCAGTATCTTCTCACGAATTCACATGATCGAACCATTAGGATATATGAAAATCTTCTCCCAGCAAAAAATGTGCTTAGATCCCTTGAGGACTTGGGAAAGAACATAGATGGGCTTGATGGTGTTGAGAAAATGAAGACTGTTGGATCAAAATGCTTAACACTCTTCAGGGAATTCCAAGATTCAGTTACAAAAATGCATTGGAAAGCGCCTTGTTTCAGTGGTGATGGTGAGTGGGTAGTTGGGGGTTCTGCGTGCAAAGGGGAACATAAGATCTACATATGGGATCGAGCGGGGCATCTTGTGAAAATTTTAGAAGGTCCTAAAGAAGCGTTGATTGATCTAGCTTGGCATCCTGTTCATCCCATAATCGTCTCTGTTTCCTTGGCGGGTCTAGTATATATTTGGGCAAAAGATTACACAGAGAACTGGAGTGCATTTGCTCCGGATTTCAAGGAGCTTGAGGAGAACGAAGAGTATGTGGAACGCGAAGATGAATTTGATTTGATACCTGAGACAGAAAAGGTGAGAACTTAAATAGATATAGACTTAATCAT